AGGTGGAGAAGGAGGAGGAGGAGGAGGAAGAGGAGGAGGAGGAGGAGGAGGAGGAGAATGAGGTGGAGAGGACGGCCCCTCGTCGGACAGATATGCTCTTGTCGGCCAGGGATCGGCGCTCTCCTGCCGCTCCTGCTGCAGCTCCAAGTGCTGCACCCCCCTCCTCCACCTCAGGCCCCCCCCCTCTCCTTCCTCTCCCATCCCCCTTCCTCCACCTCCTCCTCTCCTTCTTTCCTCCTCCTCCGCCGTCGCCATGCTGCATCGCCGCGTGTGGCTTCTCCGTGCCCTGATGGGCTTCTGGCTTCGGCATCGTGGTCTCCGTGCGGCCCTTCGAGGCCCACCCCCGAGGCTGAGGCCCGCCCGAGCGAGACAACTCACGTCATGAACGTTGACGTCGACAACACCATCGACCCTAGTGGCAACACCACCGCCGACATCTCCGCCAACTATGGGGAGTGTGGCGGTGGAGTATGAAGCACCATAACCGATTTGGGACCCCAACGGCGAAACATCTTCCGAATTGGAACTTGCTGATGCTGCTGCTGGTCCAGCCGGTCGCCAAGCGCCACGTGCCATGGGCGCCTGAAGTTTGCTGGATTGGAATCTCGTGGGAAGCCTCTCCGGGCCTCTAAGAGGCGGTTTTGCGGCCTCTTGGGGGGCCGTTTTGGGGCCTCTTGGGATCTCTTGGGGTCTCTTTTGGGCCTCTTGGGGGCCTCTGGGGGCCTCTTGGGGGCGAGGCCTCGTGGATGTTCGTTGGGATATCTTGGGGAGCCTCTCGGGGGACTCTTGGAGGCAGGTGCGACGCCAGCAATGTCGACGCGCATGCTTTGAGGCTAGTTAGCGGAGCGGCGTCCCGCGAATCCGAAGCGGCGCACTCCGAGAGTCGCTGTTTCGGCGCGCATGCATTGAGGCCAATTCGCGGACTGGTGCTCCGCTAATCCAACCCCAGGTTCTCCGCGAATCGTATCCTTTGAGGCGGGTCAGCGGAGCGGCGCACCGCTAATCCGACGCGATGTTCTCCAGGAATTCGCGCGCATGCTGTGAGGTCAATGAGCGGAGCGGCGCTCCGCTAATCCGAGGCGGAGCATTCCGCAATCGCACGCTTTGAGGCCAGCTTGCGGAGCGGCGCCCCGCTAATCCGACGCGGAGCACTCCGGGAGTCGGCGCGCATGCTTTGAGGGCAATTAGCGGAGCGGCGCTCCGCTAATCCGACGCGATGTATTTGCGGAGTCGGCGCGCATGCTTTGAGGCTGAGGCCAATGAGTGGCGGGCGTTGCGCTCCGTTAGTCCGACGCGATGCATTTCGGCAGTTGGGGTCCGGGCCACGTAGAGATTCCTCAGGAGTGAAGACTGAGGCTCAGGGGCTTGGGCAAAGGATCTGAGGCTACGCCCAGTCCGTGCCCAGAGGCACGGTGGAGGATATATACACATTGTTCATTTCTAATTCTTCGAAAGTTGTTTGATTTTTTGGGGGGCCAAGATCCTTTCATTTCTAATTGTTCTATCCTGGGCCTCTTCCTGGCCATTAGTTAGGGAGCCAGGAACAACTAGAAACGAGCACAATTAGAAATAAGCACGATCAGAAATTAATGACGCGTATATACATATACACACATGCACATATGTATATACATATCCGTATCGATTCTCAGACACACCTTTCCGAGGGAGTAGAGCTCAGAGGCGATCCGTTCACGCTCTGCTGTGCGCGTTTTTTGTTGGCCGTTTCGTTCGGAGCACCTTCAACATCCAGAAGATCGGTCGTACCCTTTCTTACGCGGATCGCGACGCCAAGTTCAACAACACACATTTTAACATACAAATTCTAAGCAAACAATGGAATGGGATTCGATGATATTTGACGTCTCTATTAGAACAGCCGTTTCGTGTGAGACATCCCTCCAAAATTGCAGCCCGATGTATTCAAAGTTGTTTTTGTTCTTCAAGACGAACCTTTCGCTCGAGACATCCTCCAATCATTTGGTTTGGAGCTTCTTTCCAACTGCAATTGCAAGGTGCGGAACACTGGCCTGCGCCACACATATCGCAAGGTGTGGCAATCCTACCTCTTTCGACTGCGATCCCGCGGTTGCACCTTCTTCCCAACAGCCCCTTGGTGATCATCATTATCATCATTCTTGCAGTTTTCCAGTACTTCTCCATTTCCCTCCGCTGCCTCCTCCTCGGATCTGACTTCACATTTTTCTTCTTGTCAATTTCTTGCGATGCTTATGTGCTGCAGTTCTTTTTGTATGAGCCTGGGCACGCAGGTGCCACTTGAGTATGCATGTATGTATGTGTGTATGTACGTACTTACGTATCTACGGTTGTATGTATTTAGGTACGTGTGTGTATATATATATATCTATGTGTATGGTCACTACTATATATACAAACACACATATATACACATATACATATATATATAGTCATATATAGTTATACATATATAGATATAGCAAATAGGCCGGGCCCCCTCCCGGGGCGTCCTCCACCTCGCTCATCTCAGGTGTACGCTCCCAGTACCGCGCTTCCCAGCCTCCCGGGAAGCCCCCACAATGCCCAACAAAGACAGTCCAAGACGTCCCCAAGAAGCCCCCACAACGTAAACGAATTGCCCAAGACGCTCCCAAGCAACCCAGGATAGCTTTCGGGCCGCTCTCCAGGCTCCCAGGAAGCCTCCAAGAGACCTCAAGAGCGCTCCGAGAGGCCTCCCGAGAGCACCCGGAGAACCCAAAATCGTTAATGTTGGTGGTTTTCTGTAGGGTTTCTGGCCTTCTCACCATTTCATGTTCCCAACGCTCCAAGACGGCCGAAGAGGCCCCTTTTGGCCTTCTCACCATTTCATGTTCCCAACGCTCCAAGACGGCCGAAGAGGCCCCCAAGACCACCCCAGAGGCCCCCAAGACGGCCCCAACACGGGCTAAGACGGTCCCAAGACTGCCGACGAGGCGCCTCGGACAGTTCCAGACCACCCAAGAACAGGCCCCAGATGAGCCCAAGAGCGGGAGCAGGAGGCCGCCAGAGACCTCCGAGAGGACTTCCGGACCCCCCAGAGGCCTCCAACACACCCCAGACCCCTGAGAGGCCCCCCAAAAAAGCGCCGACAAGGCCCCCCGAACAGCCCAAGAGAACTTCGAGAGCCGTCCCGAGAGAGCCCGAAGAGCGTAAAAACGTTGATTTTCAGTGGTTTTTGTCTACGTTTTTCGCCTTCTCACGTTTTGCGGCTTCCAACCCTCCAGGACCGAGGAATTGGAAAAAAGGGAATTCCAGAGATTCTTTTTTTTCAAGTTGAGACTCCTACTCCCTATCCTCTTCTACGAGCCCCATCAAGACTTCGGGGTCATGTGCAAAAATGTTTCGGGAATGCTGTTGAACTCTCTGACGCTGTCTTGGCACTCGCGTGGATCGTCTTCGTGTCCTCTTGGCTGCCCCTGAAACCATGGTAGAAATCGAGATCCCATGACCCCATGAGTTGAAGCAGTGGAATTTTAGAACTCCTTTTTCTCAAGCTCACCCCCTGCTTATTTCTTATTTTTGCACGAAGACCCCGAGAGGCATCCCAACAGACCGTGGCCTGCATGCAGAAAACGTCTAACCCACAGCCCAGGCACTACAACTCGAAAAAATGAAAATTCCACCATTCCGTTTTTTTTGTTCCTTTCCACAGTTCGCCCGCGTGTATATTCTTGCACAATAGGCCACAGTTAAGGCTCCAGGAAAGAACCCAGGAAGCCTTCGAGGGTCCTTCCGAGGCTTGCGCTGGGCCTTCAAGAGTCCCTGGATGCAAGACTCGACAAGGATGATATGCCATGTGTTCGCCCATCAAGCCTAGCTAGAACTTGAGCACGCGCGAAGCGCGCGTAATGTCTCTAGTCTATATGAATAGAGATGTATGACTAAGTGTATGTGTATGTGTGTGTGCATGTATGTAAGTTGGTATGTATGCCTGTGCTATATGTATGTTTGTTTACATCTATTCATGTACGTATATGTGTGTAAGTATGTGTGTACATATACAAGCATGAATTTGTGCATGACTGTATGTCTGTCTGTATGCATGTATGTATGATTGTACATATGGATACATGCCTGCATATATGAATGCATGTCTGTATATATGGGTGTATGTACGCACGTATATTTGTGTACGTGTATGGGTATAAACATGTATACCTGTATGTATGCATGCGTACATGCATGCATGCATGCATGCATGCATGTACGTATGTATGTATGTAAGTATGCATGTTTGTATGTATGCATGCATGTCTGTATGCATGCATGCATGCATGCATGCATGCATGTATGTATGCATGTATGTATGTATGTATGCTAGTCTGTATGTATGCATGCATGCATGCAGGCAGGCAGGCAGACAGGCAGACAGGAAGGTATGCATGCATGCATGCATGCATGCATGTATGCATGTATGCATGTATGCATGTATGCATGTATGCATGTATGTATGTATGTATGTATGTATGTATGTATGTGTGTGTATGTATGTATGTATGTATGTATGTATGTATGTATGCATGTATGTAGGTATGTATGTATATGTATGTATGTATGTATGTATGCATGTATGTATGTATGTATGTATGTATGTATGTATGTATGCATGCATGCATATATGTATGCCCGTGTATATGTATGTATATATGTATTCATGCATGCATGCATGCATGCATGCAGGTTTGTATGTATGTGTACGTATATCTGTTCATGTGTGCATTTTTACACTCATACATACATCCAATCTCTCTGCGCAAGTGTGGGAGGAGGTGGAGGAGGAAGGATATGGGGAGGAATGACAGAGGGGATAGAGTCAGAGGATCATCAGCATTAGGAGGATGATGAGTAGGAGGAGGGCAGGAGGATGAGGAGGAGGAAACGGTGGATGATGATCAGGAGGAGGAGGAGGAGGAGGAGGAGGAGGAGGAGGAGGAGGAGGAGGAAGAGGATGAAGAGAGGGCGAATGATGAACCCTCCAGCAGGCCGCCGGCGCGGGAAGAAGAACCGCAGCCGCCGCAACCTTCCCATGGGTCAGTCCGCGGACGTGGACCAGGAGACGGGGAACGGAGACGACAGCGAGAAGGCGCCCTGCACAGGGACTACTCGACCCAGACCTCGGATGGACTCTTGCAGTCCCGGCGTTTTTCCTTCCCCGTCCTCATGGGGGTCCTTCGTCGGGCCCAGGGCAGTGAAAACGGACCTGGGACGAGAAACTGCCCCGGGGGAAAGATTCGAGATCTGTGGGGCGCGCGGGCTGAAAAACAGAATCCGTCGGGCGTCTGGGCCCGGAGGAGGAGGAGGAGGAGGAGGAGGAGGAGGAGGAGGAGGAGGAGGAGGAGGAGGAGGAGGAGGAGGAGGAGGAGGAGGGAGGAGGGAGGGGGAGGAGGAGGAGAGGAGGAGGGAGGAGGAGGGGGAGGAGGAGGAGGAGGAGGAGAGGAGGAGGAGGAGGAGGAGGAGGAGGAGGAGGAGGAGGAGGGCGGGGGAGGAGGAGGAGGAGGAGGAGGAGGAGGAGGGGAGGAGGAGGAGAGGAGGAGGAGGAGAGGAGGAGGAGGAGGAGGGGGAGGAGGGGGAGGAGGAAGATGAGGTGTTGGTGGTGGTGTAGGAATTGGTGGCCTCTTGGGGCCCTCTCAGCCCCAGGCGCCACGCCCAGGAGGCTCCAACCATTCGTGGCCCGGCCCCCCTGGAACAGCACAGCTTCTGGGGACCCCGGGCTCCAGAGACCCGAGGACACTTTTCAACTCGTACCTCGCGGCCCGGTCGCGGATAGAAAGACGGAGAGGCAGACTGAGAGAGAGAGAGAGAGAGAGAGAAAGAACGAGAGAGAAGGAAGGGGGGAAGGAGGGAAGGAAGGAAGGAATGAAGGAATGAAGAAAGGAAGGACGGAAGGAAGGAAGAAGGAAAGAGGAGAATGAGGAGGAGGAGGAGGAGGAGGAGGAGGAGGAGGAGGAGGAGGAGGAGGAGGAGGAGGAGGAGGAGGAGGGAGGAGGACTGAGTGACGACGAATGGCTCGGCGCGGTGAGACAGGAGCGCGGTATGCTGCAGAACATCGCCCCCGCTGCGCGCAGCTGGGCGGCAGGCAGGGGAGGTGTGTGTGTGTGTGTGTGTGTGTGTGTGTGTGTGTGTGTGTGTGTGTGTGTGTGGGGCAGCGGGCGGGCGGGCGGGCGGGTGCGACGGGAGAGCGCGGGTGGGTGCTAGGCGGGAGCTCTGGAGGTCCAACAGTGGCCCAACGCGCCCAGAGTATCGATACCTCTCATTGTCCTCCTGTTCCTTCTCCTTCCCTCTCCTCCCTCCCTTCCTCTTTTCCTCCCTTCCTCCCTTCTTCTTTTCCTCCTCCCTCCTTTCCTTCTCCCTCCCTCCCTCCCTTCCTCTCGTGCAGGCTCCCCCCGCCCCTGTTCCTCCTCCCCCTTGCTCCGCTGGCCCTGCGGAGGTCCTGCGGAACATTCGCTACGAGGGGCAGTTCTTCAAGACCAAGATCTGCGCCTTCTGGCAGAAGAACCAGTGCACCCGCGGCCAGGCCCGACGCTTCCGCCATCTTCGCCGTCGTCGTCGTCGTCGTCGTCGTCGTCGTCGTCGTCGTCGTCCTCGTCGTCGTCGTCTGTTGTTGCTGCTGCTGCTGCAGCTGCTAGTGTTGTTGAATTTTCACGATGGGAAGAGCAATTATTGTTGATCCCCCCTCCGGCGCACGTGGCATTTTCCAATTGAAATGCCCCTCTTGGGGCTCGCTCCCCTTTTTTCATCAGGGAGAGTCGTGAGGCTCAAATTGGGCCCCTGGCTCCCGATCTACCACAACAATGGCTCCTGGCCGATACTTCCTCACAACAATGTATTGGGCCCCCCCGCTTCCGCTTGAAAGCTCTCCGCAGTTTACTCACGAATCGCGCTCTTGCGTGAGACATCCTTTCACTTTGCCACGTCGCCGCGCTCTCGCCATTCGGGACTGGCGCGCTCTCGCCTCGGACTTCCTTGTAGGTTACTTGGGGAAGTCGCGCTCTCGCCCGCGACTTCCTGGCGAATTGTGCAGGACTCACGCATTTGCGACCCGCCCGCTCGACCCACCCGTCAGGGTCCGCCCGCCTGACCCGCCTGGTTAAGGCTCGCAGTCGCCCCTCGCTGCTTTTCGCCCGTTCCGATGCCCCTCGCTGCCCCTCGCGATATTGCAGTCGGTTTTGAAGGCCCCGCCGCTGCCTTTGTGGCCTCCTCGATACCTTTCGTGGCCCCGCTATTTGAGCGATCCCCTCGATGCCGTTCGTGGCCCCGCGGTCGCCTTTCGTAGCCCTCTCGCTGACTGTCCTGGCCCCTTTGCAGCCCTCAGCGGCCCCCTTCCATTCAAGGCTGCGCCAATTACACGTGGCAGGGAAGAAAGATATCCCCCTGAAGGGGGTACGATCGAAGACGCAGAGTGCAGGTATCCAGGGTTTGGGAAACACATGTCGATTGACACGCACGCGTATAGGATCGAACAGTTTTAAAATGAATCAAGTAATCATTTTTGTTGATCCCCCCCCCTCTGGTAGCCATTCTAGTTTTTTGCATGGAAGTGCTTCTCCTGGGGCTCGCACCCTGTTTTTTGCATGGGAAAGTGTAGTGTCACAATTGACTCCCAAGTCGTCGTCTCGCGCGGAACGTCTTCACAATTTATACAGGAGTCGCGCTCTCACGTGGGATCCCCTCACAATTTGTTCAGACGCCGCGCCCTCGGCACTCAAGAATCACGCTCTCGCCGCGGATTTTTGCAAGATTTATTTGGGAATCGCGTTATCGCTTGAGACTTCCTCCCGATTCATGCAGGACGCACGCTTCAGCAACCCGCCTGCTCGACCTGGCCGCCTGGGCCCGCCTTCCCGACCCGCCCGTCAGGGTTTACCGGCCCGATCTGCCCATCTGGTTCTGCTACGTTTTTTCTGCTCCTAGCCCTCCTGCTATTCTCTCTCCTGCTCCATCCTCCTCCCTCCCCTTTGTCCCTTCCTTCCACCCGTGCTCTCCTTCCCCTGCCTTCGGGGCTGCACGAAATAAACGTTGCAGGTAAGAAGGATCTATACCCCGAAGCGGGTACGATCGAAGACGAAGAGGGCGGGCATCGAGGGTTTGGGATAGACGTGTTGAATGGCCCGCGAGCAGAATGGAGCGAACAGCCCAGTGCTCGCACCCTGGTTTTTACAAAGGAAGGTGAAGTGTCACCAAACGGGCCCCCTGGCGCCCAGTTTACAACAACAACAACAACAACAACAATTACTAGCACGTGGGGACACTCCGTTCTCACCAGTGCCAGGGTTTTCATAGGAGGCGGGCAATACCCCCACTTTGTGGGGGGGCCGGTTCAAGCTCTACCAAATTTCCAAACGACTCTTCGCCACCACCCACACCCAGCTTCCCGCCCTATGACGTTCGGACACTTCACTTCGTGGCATGCGGACGACCGTGGCTACTATTCAGGGCCCCGCGGCCGACGACGACGGCGTGCGCGCGCGAAGAAAAAACGAATGTGTCCCGCATGGTATTATTTGACAGGGATGATGGCCCTGGCAGGTGCGCAACCGTTGTTGCAGAAGTTCGAAAAAGTTGCTCGCAAAAGCCCGTTTGACAGAAATGTTTAAAAAGTGTTGGGTTTCCTACGAATCCGCAAGAGCGCGCGGGATGAGATTTTGACATTTTTTATATGAAAAACCATTGGTTGTAATGTTTTTATGTTAAAATCGTTACGAAAACTAAGGTTTTGGAAGGATTTCGTCTTGCGCGCGCGAATGTCCACTTTACCTTGTTTTTTGCAAGGGATTCTTGAAATGTGGTTATGTTAGAACAAGAAATGTCATTTTATATTGTTTTTTGCAAGGGAAAGCGGGCCGTACAAAACAACCGGATCTGGATCACATCGTTTTACCTGAGACTTCCTCACGAAAATGATGAAAATGTGGCTGCGGCCTAGGCGCGGCGGGGGGGCCGTGCACCAGGGGTCCCAACAATAATTATTCTTTAGAAGAAATAATGTTCAACAACAACAACAAGAACAACAACAACAACAACAACAAAGGCTCCCGCCTGATACGTCCTCGCAAGTTATTGCAAGCACACGCTCTCGCGCGGGACTTCCACACAATTTATGCCAGAATCGCGCTGTCGCCTGGGAGTTCCTCACAATTTATTCAAGCGCCGTGCCCTCGACACTCAGAAATCACTCTTTCGCTTTTCATTTCCTGACGATTTATTTGGGAGTCGAGCTATCGCTCAAGACTGCCTTGCGATTCACGCAGGACGCACGTTTCAGCCACCCGCCTGTTCGACCTGGCCGCCTGGGCCTGTCTTCCCGACCCGCCCGTTAGGGTCTACCCGCCCGATCTGCCCGGCTGGTTCTGTCACTTGTTTTCTGCTCCTAGCCCCCCTCGATTCGTTTTCTCTTCCCCAGCCTCAGGGGCTGCACGAAATACACGTTGCAGGTAAGAAATGCTATACCCTTAAGGGGGCACGATCGAAGACGAAGCGGGCGGGTATCGACGGTTTGGGGTATACGTGTTGGATGGCCCGCGAGCAGATAAGAGCGAGCAGTCTTGAAATGATATTGGTTGTTGTTGTTGCTGTTGCTCTTGCGGCTGCCGTTGTCGTTACTGTTATTATTGTGGTTGTGGTTGTCGTTGTGATTGTGGTTGTTTTTGTTTGTTGTGATTCTGATCCGTGTTCTTTGTTGTGATTGTTGTCGTCGTGGTTGTCGTTATTGTTGTTGTCGTCGTTGCTTCTTCTGCTGCTGCTGCTGTTGTAGTTGTCGTTGTGGTTGCTGTTGCTGTTGCTGCTGCTGCTGTTGTTGTTATTGTTGTTGTTATTGTTGTTGTTGTCGTCGTCATCGTTGTTGTAGTTGTGGTTGCTGTTGTTGTTGTTGTTGTTGTTGTTGTTGTTGTTGTTGTTGTTGTTATTGTTGTGGTTGTTGTTGTTGTTGTTGGTGCTCTAGTGGTTGTTGCTGCTGTTGCTGTTGCTGTTGCTGTTGCTGTTGTTGTTGTTGTTGTTGTTGTTGGTGTTGTTGTTGAACATTATTAATTCTGAAGAATAATTATTGTTGGGCCCCCTGGTGCACGCCCCCCCTGCGCCGCCTAGGCCGCAGCTACATTTTCATCATTTTCGTGAGGAAGCCTCAGGTAAAACGATGTGATCCAGATCCGGTTGTTTTGTTGTAATCCGTTTTCCCTTGCAAAAAACACTATAAAATGACATTTCTTGTTCTAATATAATCAAATTTCAAGAATCCCTTGCAAAAAATAAGGTAAAGTGGACATTCGCGCGCGCAAGACGAAATCCTTCCAAAAGCTTAGTGTTCGGAGCGATTTTAACATAAAAACATCAAAAAACCAATGGTTTTTCAACAAAAAAATGTCAAAATCTCATCCCGCGCGCTCTTGCGGATTCGTAGGAAACCCAACACTTTTTAAACATTTCTGTCAAACGGGCTTTTGCGAGCAACTTTTTCGAACTTCTGCGACAACGGTTGCGCACCTGCCAGGGCCATCATCCCTGTCAAATAATACCATGCGGGACACATTCGTTTTTTCTTCGCGCGCGCACGCCGTCGTCGTCGGCCGCGGGGCCCTGAATAGTAGCCACGGTCGTCCGCATGCCACGAAGTGAAGTGTCCGAACGTCATAGGGCGGGAAGCTGGGTGTGGGTGGTGGCGAAGAGTCGTTTGGAAATTTGGTAGAGCTTGAACCGGCCCCCCCACAAAGTGGGGGTATTGCCCGCCTCCTATGAAAACCCTGGCACTGGTGAGAACGGAGTGTCCCCAGTCTTAAATGATTGTTGTTGTTGTTGTTGTTGTTGTTGTTGTCGCTGTTGTTGCATATTACTTACTAAACAGTTATTGTTGTTGGACCCTTTCAGGCGCTTTGGTGCTCTCGGCCAGGCGCCGGCTTCATTTTCATTGAAAATGAGACTCACGCTCGAGCGGTTCGGGGGGGCGCCGAAACCGGCACTCCAACAACAACAATGCTCCCGCTCGAGACTTCCTCTTTTTTGATTCAGGGCCGGTGCTCTTGCTCGCCGCCGAAGGCCGCCGTCCCAACAAAACCAGCGCTACCGCTCGAGACTTCCTCCCGTTTTACCTTGGACTGGCGCGCTACTCTTTCTCTCATCTGCGCCGCCCCCAGCAACAACAACGCTCCCGCTCGAGACGTCTTCCCTTTTTTACTCAAGGCGGTGCTCCTCCTCGCCGCCGAAAACCGCCGTCCCGACAAAACAGCGCTCCCGCCCGAGATTTCCTCCTGTTCTACGCTGGACTGGTGCCCTACTCTCTTTTGAATTGGCGCCGCTCCCAGCAAGAACAACGCTCCCGCTCGAGGCCTCCTCCCTTTTTCCTCAGGACGGTGCTGTTCCTCGCCGCCGACAGCCCCCGTCCCGACAAAACCACGGCTCCCGCTTGAGACTTCCTCCCTTCTTACGCCAGGCGGTGTTCCTCCTCGCCGCCGACAACCGCCGTCCCAACAAAACCAGCGTTCCCGCTCGAGACTTCGTCTTGCTTTACGCTGGACTAGCGCCCTA